AGAGTGGACACTGCAGGGGTCCTATATCCCAGTTCTTTTCTGTCAGGAATAAGGCTCATCCATGTCCACAGAAGAAATCTGTCTTGAGCTAGAAACTTAAGATGAGTAGGTGACATGATGGAAAGGCTGATGGATTAGAAATGGGTCCCCAGGTCCAGAAGGATAGAGGAAATCATATTTCTTTCTCAGCTTTGGGATTCTTGAGGCTGATTAGAAGATCAGGGGCTGATGAGAAGTCTGAACATTCTTCACCAAGGACAGGCTCAACTCACAATTGGAGGTGGAATAGGCAAAATTTCCCCTAAGGCAGAAGTTGACAAGATTTTTTCTGTAAGGTGCCAGATTGTAAGTATGTTTTTTGAGCCATACACTCTTTCACAACCACACAGTTCAACCATTCTAGTACAAAACACATATTGTGGATACATAAACAAATGGGTAGGACTGTATTATAATAAAACTTTGTTTATGGATACTAAAATGTGAATTCCATATAATTTCCATATTTCACAGCACATTGTTTTCTAGAATGTTTTTGTTTTTAACATTCAAACATATAGAGGTCATTCCTAGTTTAGGGGCCATACAAACAATTCATAGGCAGATTTAGTCTACGGCCATAGTTGCCACCTCCTGCCCTAAGAAACAGCAATTGAAACATCTCAACATTTACGGTTTTCAAGAACTCTAATTTGAGTCTTTCAATTCTGATCCTTTTCTTTCCTCTTGGATTTCAGATGGGTGCCTCCCTTTTTGCAAGTGACGTCGGCAGCAGCCACTTTGTGGGGCTGCCTGGGACTGGGGCGGCTTCAGGCATTGCCATTGCAGCATTTGAATGGAACGTAAGTCACAGGCTTTTTTTTTTCCCCCATTCAAGCCCACATACATTTTTTTTTTTTTTTTTTTTTCCCCTGGGTGTCTGAATAGGATGAATTCCTCTTTGGTTTGATTTCTACTTTTACCTTCTCTGGCTTTATCCCTTTTTTGATTTCAGGAAATTCTCATGTGGCCCCATTCTGCATAGGCCATTCCAATCATATCATTCCCCTCCTTTGAGCTTCTGCTCAAGTAGTTACTCCCACCATGAATGTCATTTCTGTCACACTCAAGTTCACTTTCACTTGACCTCTTTGTCCACGTTCACTCTCAATTCTGTCTTTTCCTTGAGCTATTACAGTACGTGTCCAGCTCTGAACTAGATGCAAATAATTAAAAAATGTAAAAACCTCACTTCCTTCTTCTTTTTTTTTTTTATTAGGATTTGGGTGAAGATTTACAGAG